TATATATATATATATATATATATATATATATATATATATATATATATATATATATATATATATATATATATATATATATATATATATATATATATAATATATATATAAACATATATTTATTTATTTATTTATTTATTTATTTATTTGTTTATTTATTCATTTATATATTTATTTATTTATTGATACATTTATATATATATATACATATATATATTTGTTTATTTATTTATTGATACATTTTTACATTTACATTTGCAATCGCAATCACATTCGTGCATCTGTACAATCATACAAACATAAACACATGATATCATCGAGAATCAGGTAGAGCATTGAAAAAGAGGCCTGCTAATTTTCATACCGATTAGAGGCAACAAAGACGACCACCGCATTCATCAAAAATCTAGAGAGAGATTTCTACAAAAATGACAAGAAGACTTAAACCTATCTCCTTTTGATATTCTTCTTTCTATTTGGCTTTTTGCGCAATCTGCTGAAACTTTGCCACTTCAGTTTGTAATGTCATACAGCTCGTTTCACTCCAAGTTATTATCCCCTGCGTTCTTTCCAAATGCCATCCTAAATTAGTATAATTCTTCTTTATAACTTCCTCAATTTGATTCGAGAAATTGTCACTTCCTTAGGTTACAAATGATACCAATAAAACTTTGGAAAGAGTCGCAATTGTGAGCCAATGAAACAGCTGTATCGGAATACACATGGTCTTTTGAATGTTGTTCCGAGTTTATCTTACCAAATGGACTTTTGACAGGAATCCAAAAGTTAGCAGCGATTCATCCGTGGGGAACGTGTTTCCTTCGGTTCACGGTCAATAGCTGTAATTTTGCAGATATCAGCATCGAAGTACAACGATATAACTCCAGAACTTATTGTTTGTTCGGAATCCATTGTTTTTAATGTTTGGTCTATATGTCAAACGATTTTGGATTGAATGTGTGGGTTGCTGACCTTTCTTGGTTGCATGAAATTGATCATAATGTGTTGGAAAAGAAAAGAAAGATGTGCCTATTTTCATTGCACATCGAATGCACCTTTTTTTTATTTCCAGGTGAGCACAGAAAATTGGAGAAAAATGCATATATTCTTAAGATCATTCTAATGATTTATTCCTTTTCTAACTTGCGTCGTGGAGTTAAGAAAGTGAGGTAGATTGTTATCGTTCGTTGTAGAAGCTGTTATAATTTTAAAGGAGTGACTTACAGTGTATCGGTTCGTTTTGTGCTCGTAACTTACAACAGATTATCCTTTATTATCGTCTGGATACCAAATACAGTAAAGACAGGTTCAAATAATTCCAATTACAATGGAATGACTTCCAGGGTAAGATCAGTAGAATAATGAGATTTTGTAAGGATTAGTAGATTGGAGAGTGTTTGCGTGAACTTGGGTGTCGACAGATGGGATTTTTGCAACAAAAGTAAAGACTATTAGGATTTCTAACGTTTATATAAGGAGTGTGTAAGGAGAAACAATGATAACAAATTAACGTATACTCACAATTACCAGAGAAATCTCCATATCTATATTAATTTATATTAAGTAGCTTTAATCACAATATACTTTGTTTGGAGAAAGGAAAGAAATACAATAATTAACAGAAATCTAGGGATAAATATGTTGGATATAAACATGTTTATAAGATCAGATATCTCTAAAGTATGCTCATCAATGTGCATAAAATTAGTTGTCATCTAGATATGTGCAAACCTCAAT